ACGTTTATTATTTTATACTAGCGGAGGCTTTATATTTTTTGATATGCGTATTCGAATATTTTTGTATGAACATTTGTCGCAATCCTGACGAAGGAACAAAAAAAAACGATAGGAATCGATTACATTGTTTTCTATAGTAATTGTAAATAATAAATTAACGAAAGCTTATAAGCGTAAATTCACACGATAGATTCTTTGTTTCTTTTTCATAGATATCTAATTTTCAGCATTCACAATTTTAATTTTTTATTGTGTTTTACCGTAGTTATGAATCCTACATTGATGAAGGATCGTAAATTCACAATTGATTCTCGATCGTTTCCTTTTGTAAGTATATTATTGCAGCATCAAATTCTCTTATCTTTCTTATCGTTTCTTTTTCCACGAAACGTAAAAAAATAATTAAAAATCATAATAAAATAATAATAATAATAATAATAATAATAATAATAAAAATATTAAATACTAATAATAATAATAATATTCATATAAAGATAATGATACAATAAAAAGAAAGATTGAAGAAAAATATAAGAGGTCACAGGCAGGCTTTTACTTTACCACCTCATGATCCAGGCTCGTGTTTATTCACGGCTGGCTCGCATCGCTCGAGCTCTCCAAGCATCTCACGATCGTTGCCGAGCGCGAAAAATCCCTCTTTTCTCCATGGTGAACTGTTCCCGTAGGCGTAGCCACGTCGAGGCGTCGACGTTGCTAGACCCCACCTTCCCGTTGGTAACTAGGGCTATGTCTACTTGGCTGGCCGTCTCAAAAAGCCGACCAATCCGCGATACGAGACGGCCACTGCCAACACGTAAAGTAGCGGAGGCGCCTTTGTCGCCCAGGTACGCAAGGGATCGCAGGACGGAGGGTGAAAGATCCGGGGAGGTGGGGGAGCGAGTCTACGGGCACAGCGGAAGAGAAGGGCCAAGCGAGTGGGGCGAAACACCACCCTCCGCGCGCGCCAAAGGGTATCTATGTGTGTGGGTGCATGTACCATTCGTACAGCCGCCCCCGGGGGGGTTTCCTTTCTTCGTTACCCGTCGCGCACAGCCGAGCAACCCCGCGCTGCTCGACGGCTCAGTTGCTTAACACCGCGAGGACGACACGGTTGCGCCACGACGGCAAACACGCTGCTCTCACCATCGGGACCATCCCTTCGAAGCGATCGTACGCCGCGATATTTATTGCCACGCTCCTTTGAAAATGACCAAGTCGCGATCGGGTGTTAATTGAACAAGAGTCCATTGCGTGCGCGCTTCATCGAACGGGATCTCTCTTGGAATTTGGACAAACGCGCCTTTAGGTCTAATATACACCTGGAGAGAATATCTAAAAATCATTCCGTGACACAAAGATATCTAAGTTGGCTCTAACAAACGCGTGATATCAATCGCTGAAGAGGGATTATATGGACATAGGCGCGATCAAAGCCCTGGATATAATCTGTGTTAGAGATGTATGCAAGACATACGTTGGCTGGCGTTTCTTGTCGAGAGTGCCGATGAACCCCGGTCAAAACTCTTGGAATAGTGTCAACTTTGAACTTTGGATCGTCCTGTTCTCCGGACACAATCATCAGGTTTGGGTGCGGTGTTTGCACGTCGGTATCATCCCCATTGTGTCTGAAAAAGAAGTTATCACCGGTTATCTTTGAAATCAATCTTTCTCTCTCAAAGAAAATGAAAGAAGACGGTTTTCCAGAGTATGGAACAACTCACTCAAGCTTGTACGTGCTTCTATGAGTGAAACTTGACTATGCGCGACACTCTCTGCGTGTGTTGTTTAGTGTTAATGCCGAAAAGAAGAGACAAAGCTTCGAGTTACACTGAAAAGGCTTCGCGTACAAGCGCACAAAACAGTGTCGTGACAAACGACGGACAGAGCAATCTGTACCTGATCACAACGAAATATTTATTTCAACGAAGTGGAGAACACAAGAGCAAGTAAAAATTATACATCGTCGCGATATGAGCGAAAGAAAGTAGAATTTCTCGTGTCCATTTAACGAAACCTATTGTTCACGTTCACCGACGGTTAACGAAACATTGACAAGATTGATCGTTTTGCTAGCGATATCTGTCATCACAACGAAAATAAATCGAAACAAATCGTATTCTGTCATTGCAGAGCACTGAGTTGATGTATTTGCTGTAAATATTTGTTAAGGAATCTTAGTTTTCATAAATATGTACAAAAACGTCATATGATTTGTTAGATCTCCGCATTTAGGCCTCCTTTCATGTCAATCGCACATAATACAACTTCAAGAAAATCAAATTTTCAACGGCCTTAAAGCAAATATTTCATAACACTTCAGTGAAATACTTGTATGGCAATACCCGTCGCACAGTGATGTCAGGGTCTACCAGTTTTGAAACTGTTATTACGTTTATTCTGGCAATTTTGCAACGAATCCTACTGAAACTAGCATCAATTTTGTAAAATTGTCAGAAATTTTACAGTATATTCACTGATTTCTGTGCTTAATTTATAATCTAATATGAGATTAAGTTAAAATCCAAGAAATATACAACGATTCTCTTTGATCGAATTCCTGAACGTCGGAAGCATCTTCCGAGGAAACCGAACAACGATCCAGGAGACCTAATCTTTATAATCACACGAACACAATCACACGAAGGCAAGATAGATAAGTTCGTTCTTTTGAATGTACACTTTGATGTTGGCTAGCGGTTTCGACCCAATATCCGCTTGTCAACACCTTCATTACGTGCCTATCGTGAAATTCGAGGATCAAGGATCGACGCAGATCACTTGGTTCTCGTGAACAAGCAAATGAGAATGTCACTTTGAACCCGTGCGATCTCAGTCAAAGAACCCGAAGATGCCGCAGCAGCAGCAACGATCGGCTTTCGCGATTCAAGAGCTGCTGGGCCTAGATGGTACCGGAAACAGGAGCGGGACCGATCGCGGGGGATCCCCGCAAAGTTCGCCGCCCGCCGGTGTCTCGGCTGTTTCCTATGCCCCAGCTGCGCCTCATCACTCAAAATTATGGGAATACATGCCCAGCTTAAATCATTTAGGCAATCTGGGGAATCTGGGAAATCTGGGGAATCTGGGCAATCTCACGGCCTCAAGGATGGCCTACCTGAATGCGCAGGCGGCCGTGGCGGCCGCCTTTCTACCGCCGCCCCATCCCCACCCAGCCCACCACGTACCGCATCATCAGGTACATCAATCGGGCCAACTTCCGGCATCGCCGCCCGGCGTCAACCTGCATCCTGCGGCACATGCGCAGCACGTACTGCCCGGTACGGCTGTAACCACAAATCATCATCAACATAGCCCGACTCAACACACACCGCCTCATGGTAAGTCGATGATTTTGATTTTCCGATTTCTAGCCGGCTATCATTCTGTTAGGGGTGATGTGGGATGTGGGTGAATAAACTTCAGTTATGTGAAGACGATAAGAATGGCAATAATTTGTACTCTTATTGTGTGTGTAAATACGTAAATACTATATTCTAAAACTTCTTTGATCTAAAATTTCTTTCTCAGTACAACTGATGCACGATGTAACGACGTTCATAGCAAAAAAGAATCTAAGAATTTTTTCCTTTGTCTTTGTCTTACATGATTTAGAATCAACATACTGCCGATAGATCAATTCTATCAAGAGCTTATAAATGGCACTGCTGCATAACGTATGCTAACTTATTGTTAGAACTAAAAACATCCAATTGGACCCACGTCTATATTTTTTTTTCTTTTTATTTAGAAATACGAATAATAGAATATATAAGATTGTAATTGTATACTTTATTTGCCAAAAAAATATTCGATGCGTATAAAAATAAATCTCTAAATATTAGCAATTATTATATATAATTTGAGAAACATACAATTATATCTTGAACAAGTAAATTTATATCTCTTGAAAGTAATACACATCCATTCATTTCTTTTTTACCTATAATATTTAAAAATGATAGAGACCCAATGTATATCTTATTATTTACTTAACTATTTCTAATATAAGATCGATTAGATCAATTATTATATAATAACACATTTTCGTAGTTGTTATAATATACAATACAGATAAAATATTACTTAACAATAATCCTTGAAGAAAATATTAGATTTTTATATCTATTTATAATATGTTCTTTGATTACCAGCAAAGCAATATTTTTGCATATAATATGTTATACTAAAATATAAATTAATAGTTGATCATAACATAAGTGTTAATAATAAAAGCATTCTAGACATTTATTTTTGATCTCCTTATGATTATAGTACAATTTGCATAAAAGATATTTAAATACTTTATTGAAAAATATGTTATAATCTAATGAAAACTAAAAATTGATAAAATTAAAAAGTAGCCAATTATCTTACAGATAATTGTCACACAAAAAAGCTAATTTTAATTGATCATATCATCATCATAATGTGAGAGCAGTCCTTTTTTTGGACGATATATTCATTCTATATCATAAACTGCACGTTAATTGTGAACAAGATTGAACTTATATAACCCTCTATTTCACAAACAAAGTAAATTAATAGGTGTATCGTTGTTCTGGCATGAAACAAGCACTTAACTGCCACTTACAGCTATCACTTAACAGAGAGCCACTCAAGATCAAGTTACCGAAAATCGACACATCTTTGTCGCGCGTCCACGCGCGCCGTCGGCATTGTACGCGCCAAGAATTCCGGGGGAATTTTCGGGAAAACTGTATTCAATCGGCAGCTGCTCTTAGCTATCTTACATTCCCAATACACACAAACGCAAACCGAGCGCACTCGAATGTCCATCACTCGATCAAAATAGAAAACTTTTATTTGCCGAGTATGTTGATTTGCCACTAAATTGAGCACAAACTGACGTATTTAGTGGGCGAAAAGTTGAACTATTACGTGTTGTAACTTGAAACCATTTCCTCCCTGTAGTGTGTAAACAAACTAACAAGAGGGGCCCGTTTACATATTTATAAGTACATATATTAGTTCTCTCCGCATATTGGCTATTTTTTGACTAGAATTTTCAATATTATTAACGAAGTACGTAATGTAATATCGACATATAATAGTAAAGATAGTGTAAACGACTTCTCTTGAAAACAAAAGCATACTTTCATGGTGTTAGAAATAAGAGAAAGAGCAGAGAGAAAGAGAGAGAGAGAGAGAGAGATGATAAGAAACGGGAACACGTTGTGGGAATTGATTTATTTTCGTCAGAATAATTCTCAACGTTATGAATAATTAGTGGTATAATGAGTTGAGTGTTAGGCAGGCCTGCAATGTCTCACCAAAACACAAAGAGCATCGACAAAACTGGCCTTCCGTCATACAACTGTTCTCAACTTGCTTTGATATTGATATTTTAAATATAGCATTAAAATATTGTTGAAGTATGTGCATATATGATGAAATATTATATGTTTGTGTGTGTATGTTTTACTCTCATCTATTATTACATTATCTATTATTAATATTATGTTTTATACTCATTTATTATTACAATCAAATTATACATAATTTATTAAATTAGAATTAATGAGAAAGTAAAGAAATAAAACAATTATAAATTATAATTTTATTAGTCAGTGAAAGGTGAGAATATGAAATTAAATTAAAATTCTCTATTACTATTATTAAACTATTCACGTAAAATATATTATCTTATTTGTTTGTGCGTGTGTGCGCGCATGTCCAGTGTGATACTATAATGTAAAGATAATATTTACATTATCGATCATCGAATAAAAAAGTACATAGAATAAATATATACATATAATAGATATATATAGATATGTATAAATTTTATATATTTATTTTAATATATGTATATATGTATAAATAAGATCTGTGTATAAATTTAAGCAGATACAGAAAATTCTTTTCTTAAAGTGTGCATTAATTTTTTTTTTCATATATCTTATATGCAGATAAAGGCTGTTATTTAATGTCTGTTTTATATAGTATCTTGGAAAAATTTCATTATTAAATTATTTTATTATGTACAAAAAAATTTTACTTCTATTAATTAAGATTTTTTTTTGTACGATAGAAGTCACACACATACATATATGTAGCATATTTTGATTTCACAGAATCTATAGCTTTAACATGGTATATTATATCACCATTTAATATTGGAGATTTCGCGGCGTAGAACGAATTTTGAGAACGATTTTCGGGTGTCGAGTTCCAGACAGAACACAAAGGATCTACCATTCCATTCAAATGTCACTCTGGCACCTCGTCTCACAGCATTTATTTGATGTGCTCCATTCGTTCGTTTTTGTCTTAAAACTTAAACAGGCTTAAAGACGAGAGCACAGACTAAGACTTACTACCGTTATATTACCAACTGTTTATGTTTAATAATCATTACGTCGATTTTTGTGATTATAATTCATTTAAAGTTTATAAAGAGAGATTCAAAGATTTATGTTTCTAACAATTTTATTACATGAATCTTTGATCAAAATGCAATGTCAAATTTATATAAAGAAATCTAAAAATTTGTTCTTGACCACACACTTTTATCTACAATATTTCGTGTGTGCTAGATAGTATATCAACAATTTTCTTTTAGTAAAAGAGAACAATCAGGAATTATATATTTATTCAGAGTTACACTAAGAAGTTTTAAAATATCTAAATGATCGGATTTGTGATATATTAAAGAGTGATTTCACCGACATTAGTTAAGTTTAATTATGTTAACTATTTCTTATCTTTCTGTTTCTTCTCTTTCTTTAAAAAAGAAAGGATCAATAATTAGATCAGAATTAAAAAGTTAATGTCTAAAGTATTAATTAACTATATACAAAAGTCATTATAATCATATAATTGCAACATTTTTATTTATACAGATCATAATAAAATTTAAAGACTATTTAACAACAAAATACATAATTATTGTGTGGCATATTTCTATAATTATTTAAAGTCTATAATAAAATTATGATAAACTATAACTTTCTTAATTTCTCAAAGAGTATGGCACGGTAAAGATTATATTCAACTAAAAAATGTAATACAATGTCACGTAAGAAAGAAGAAAGGTAGAAAACATACACGGGAGAATTCTTGCATAGAAAAGCAAGCTATATGTATAACGATGATACCAACGACGAGTAAGAAAGGAAGAGGAGGGCACGTGTGTGTAATAGAAAAAGGAAGAAGGTGCAGGGAAGGGGAAGTGCGTGAGCGGGCTTCTCAGGCGTTGATAGGCAATTTAGTTGATTGCCGACTTCAAACGATCCGAAAAAAGCAGCTTCGAGACGCGGTGCGATGTGACGCCTAAGAAGCGGAAGGCGCGAATCAAAGGCGATCGCAAATCTCGGAATTTTTAGGGCAATTCATATCCCCCTTTTTTTTTTCTACAGCTCTTTCTCCTCTTTGTTTTATTTATATCAAATATAATATATATATAGGAATTTATCATTTTTACTAAACTTGATATCTAGGAATTCCTGAAGTTCATACACGATGTAATGTCAAAATTTGAAATTTTAATATAATAAACTCGACATAATCTATCAGTTGAAAAAAAATACTTGCTATCTAAAATGGAATAAAATTATGCCCCTCGTGTTCATCGCGCATGTCAATGTCGAAAGTATCATCGGAAGTTATCGCATTCGTGTATCCGCGTATTTTTTTCCCCTAAGTACGTAGTCAGTTGTAGACATTCGTTGTCGGTTCTCGCGCAGTCACGCCTCTGACGAAATGGTTTCCTCTGAAAAATCCGCGGAGCGGAAACAAGGAGCGGAGAGAATGGCAAACGCGCGATACGAACATGGTGTGCGGCGCGTTTGTAGGAACAAATCGATACTGATTAGTACTTGAAAGCGTGGGGGTGATCGTATGTCTTTCACATATTTACATATACGCCGTTTATAAACATGTGTACGTATACGTGCGTTTGCTGCTTGTTCGATGTTCGCGCGATAAGAGCGCGTGATAGCTCGAGAGCAAGAAGTCTTGAACAAATTAGCGGATTTACAGACTCGTCAGCGGGCTTTGTTTCGGAGAAAAGTGCCGCGCGTCTCTACGCACGAGAGATTTTCGCGGCGCGCCGACTACGTTTGCATAAATTTGTGCGCTCGAATTTGTAATTTTTTTGATTAGTACTTGAAAGCGTGGGGGTGATATTATGTCTTTCACATATTTACATATATACGCCGCTTATAAACATGTGTACGTATACGTGCGTTTGCTGCTTGTTCGATGTTCGCGCGATAAGAGCGCGTGATAGCTCGAGAGCAAGAAGTCTTGAACAAATTAGCGGATTTACAGACTCGTCAGCGGGCTTTGTTTCGGAGAAAAGTGCCGCGCGTCTCTA